TAAAAGAGCTCATAGTATTATTTATACTTGTTATTATTTTCCTTATTGTAATAATAATTATAATTTGAAATATTTTCAAATTACAACCTATTATATCTCACCATGTAAGTGTATTAAATTGTAATCAAACTTACACCACTTACTTATTATATAATGCTAACCTCTAACCACTGAGCCAGACGACCATACAATTTCGTACTAACGAAAATTCCTTTTCTTACATTAAGAGCAGTCTTAAAACTTGAAGGATGACAAACGACGTGCTCAACTCAAGGATAAGGCATAAGGGTGTACTTTTCAAACGATAATTACAAGGTAAAAAGAAACGAGCGTGACTTTTAAAACATCTGAATGCACCCTAAATGCTCACACGGCGAAAAAATAATAAAAACCATGGAACATGCGCGTGACTCTCATTTATTACCCAGTCACATTAACGTAAGAACTGCTTTGTGTGAAGTAAAATATGATTATGACATAAACCGTCCCTTCCATTGTCCCTTATTTGATTTTTTCGCGCACAAAAAAGCTCAATATGGGCGGAATTCCCGCCTAAGCTCTGGGAAATTAAAAAATTCTCGCTGTGATGACATTGTTAGAGGTATTATTGTGTGGAATGTGAATCTTTTGTAATTATGTAATAGTTTGCAATCGTTTGTAAATGTGGAAAATGTATTCTTATCGCTTTATAATATGGTTCAAATTTAATTTAATTTTAAAGTTTTCTATTGTTTTCATTTGACATCTTGTTTTCAGTTATGTCTATCAGCTTAGTTGGGACATACATACATATATACGTAGCTAGACTCGCAGCAAATATAAAAATGTTGTCTCCTACTGCATAATACTATTTTCTTTCGTTCACTTGTTCCCTTCTTTTTAGTTACTTTTTTACTCAGTGGAGTTATCTTTAATTTTTATAATTAACTCTAGAAAAACAAAAATAAATCTATACCACGGGAATCGTACATTTTTCCGAGAAAAAGTAGCCTATGTGTTTTTCTGATGTATGAACTATATTACTATAGTTTCATTAAAGTCCATTTAGTAATTAGTTTTTGCGTGAAAGAGTAACAAACATCCATACATCAATACATCCAGAAATCCATACATCCTCACGAACTTTCGCAATCATAATATTACTAGGATTTTATATATAGAGTAAAAATGTCTTAAGCTACTTCTTTCTGCTCTTAAGATATAATACCTTTTAATTACAGATAATTGTAATTGTAATTTTTTGCTAAGTCTTGATAAAAATATTTATAATATTTTTATCATAATAATAAAGTTAGTCTGAAAGCTAAGAAATGATAAATGTTGATTATTAGTAAATAGGTAGTTGTGGTTTCAAATTTTAGAAAAAAATTGACAAGGTCAAAACAAAATTTATTGTTATATCCGAAAATAACATTAAAAAATTTAAGTAATAGTATAAAAAACTGTTTTAAAAAAACAAAAAAAACGAAAGTGCATATTACAAGATTTCTGCGATACAATTCAGACAAAGAGAGACAATAGCATTCCCAAGGAGAGTTGACGTCAGGCAGGCGTGAGGCGGCCGGTCGTAAAACTTTTGCCAAATCCTATCAGCAGTACAGAAGATGTGCTGCGCCGACCCCAAGTGATTGGGAAATGGGCAGGGAGTAGAAGAAGTTGTGGTAAAGTTTTAGTTTAGAAACATATAAGTCGTTTCTCACTAGACTATTAATAGAGACCTCAGATTAAGGAGTAATATAGAGTGTCATAGAACTAAACGTGAAACCAAACAATATTTCAAAATAGTATACAAATGACAATTTGTGTATTGAGTGATCAAACGTAAATAAAAAAATAGCTAACAGATTATAATAAAGGAAAGGAAAAAACTAAGTTAATTGAAGAGAACTAATGCTTAAGAAATACTATAGAATATTATTATACTATTTAAATAATATTATTATTTTCATTATTAATATTTTATTCTAAAGAAAATGCATATTAATTTAACTGAACCATACATATAATAAAATAGTAACCAAGCCGAATCTGTACATTAAATAATTTTTGTAATCCCATGTTATACCCATGCTAGAGTACACACATTCGTACTCATCACACAAATAAATGCCTCCAGCGGGGCTCGAACCCGTGACCGCTGGCACATCAAGTAGCGTCACTACAAAGTGAGCCAAACGTATCGTCAAAATATAGATGTTGAATTTTCACTATGTCTAAAGTCATAGTGCTAAAAACTTTATAGGATGTAATATGCTCTAATCTTATCGCCTTAACTGATGACAAAAGTCGGTTTCACGAGATTTGGCACAACGATATCACGATAAGAGAAAGCGGTATGCATTTTTAAAGTTGCTATTTCGTGACAGCTTGCCTTTTTTGCCCAAAAAGCAAATTCTTAGTTTTTACATATTACTATACTCTTACATTACAGTTTTTGTATTTTTTCTCAGAAATAAGACATTTTGCCGCGGTAAAAAGTATCCTATATGTTGACCCAGATAACCAGCTATCACCGTACCAAATTTCAATAAAATCCCTCCAGTGGTTTTTCTGTGATGCGGTAACAGACAGACAGACGGACAAAAATTCTAAAAATTATGGATTCGGCTTCTGTATCGATGAAAATGTTTATTTCAATAAGATTTTCCAAAAAATATCTAATGTACAGATTCGGCTTAGTTACAATTTTATTATATATAGATTGTTCATACAAAAATACTAAAATCGCGATTAAAAAATTGGGGTGGGGTTAGGAGGGTAAAAAATACTTTACGACCTATTGTTATACCTACCAAATATACAAAAAAAAACATTAAGATCGGTCGAGCCGTTTCGGAGGAGTACGACCACAAACACCGTGACACGAAATTTTTATATATTAAATTATACAGAATGCCGTGAGTCGCCGTTCCCGTTCTGAAAGAAAAAGCATCAATCCTGAAAAGCACTGGCAAAAAACTGCGGTGCAACAATATTTTTTCTATTGTTAGTCTAAATAACGTTGGGCGCCGTGATCGCAAATTAGTGAAGAATATATTAGATATATATATATATATATATATATATATATATTATATATATATATATATATATATATATATATATATATATATGTATATGTTTGTACATACATACATACATACGTACATACAGAAAGATATTAGATAGATATTTATAGTTGTTGCACACCGCAAAAGAAAAACAAAGGAAGATATATATTATATACGTATATTAAGAGAGGCACAGCAGGTGGCATTGTCCCTATAAACAATCTTTTCCATGCAACATTAGGGTATTAATAACTATGTAAAATGACAGACGATAAGTATTATTATACTTTTGTAAGTTTAATATAAAAATAATAAGAAATATCTCTAGCGGAAATCGAACCGGCTACCGTAGAAAAGTAGCTATGCTTAGATGTCCAAAACGCTAATAAACGTTTTATGGTTATACAGAATGGATCTAATATACAAAGGTGAACCTTATTAATTATCATAAATCATACTCCCCTGAAATTGTTCTTTCACCTAAAAGCCCTTTAATAAATTACTAATTAACTTTGCAATAAAATCTCAGGTGTGCGGGAATTTGTTTTATTTATGCGAGGCTTAAAAATGTTTGAAGAAAAATTAAGAATTTATTCTTTTTAATCTCTAGTGACTCACCCTTGCTTCGCTCAGATGCGTCCACTTTTGCCATTTAATACAACAACATCGACTTCAAAAAGATAAATAATAAAAAAACTAAAAAAAAAATTAAAAAAATATATTATACGGCAATAAAAAATTTGCACTCGATAGTACCTCACAATTTCAAGAGGCCAACTTCACTCGAGAATTTCAGTTTTGTGAGAACTGCATATTGCAATGTTAATTTGTTCGTACAAGTCTATATATACTATTCTTTATTGTACTTTAAAAAAAATCAATACAGTAATTTAAAATCAGTTGTTATTTACAAAGGTGGACATATCTCTAGAAGAGATCTCTTCCAGCCAACCTGTTGTAGTGAGAAATAGTGTTACAAAGCGGGCTAAATTCGTGCAGTCGTAGTTATATAAATAATATATAAATACTCAAAAATATATAGCTAATTAAACAATATATATAATAACATATAATATACACTACTTACTTATACCATACATACATATATCGTCTATACGTCTATACATATATTTAAAACAGATAGTTCAGTGCTTTCCTTCCTCTGTTTGTGAACCGATTTTATTTTAATTTTGGGTCTGAGGTTTAGTGTCATCAATAGAAAAAAATTGGCAACAGTTTTTTTGCATATTTCTTAAATTTTCAATACTTATAAAAAAAATCCGAAAAGATAGTTTTATTTGAGATGTCAAATATTCGCGTAAATCTAAGAAAGTATTATTTTCAAAACTCATTATACTCGAATTTCGACGACGGGCGAAATCTTATTAGATTTATTATGATGTTACAATTAAGACAAAATTAAATTCATATCAATGGCATTTATATTAAGCCTTTGGTGTTTTATTAATAAAATTTGCAAATTAGGTTCGAACGGGTAAACAAAATTAATGAAAACCTTTATCAAACATACAATAACTAACCCTGATAACTTTTTAACTATATAATATAATTTGGCTATTTTAAGGTTTCACTGCCGAGTGCTGAGCACGAGCTCAATACGAGGTTACACTTCGTAAACACTCGTCTTTCGAATGTTTTCCTTCACCGTATTAGCAATTAATTATTATCTATACAGATAATAAAATTGTAACTAAGCCGAATCTGTACATAAATATTTTTTTGAAAATCTTATTGAAATAAACATTATTATCGATACAGAGGCATAATCTATAGTTTTTGAATTTTTGTCTGTCTGTTACCGCATCACAGAAAAACCCCTGGAGGGATTTTGATGAAATTTGGTATGGTGATATGAATGAAAGATAAATGAAAAAAATAATGAAAGATATATAAATAAAAAACTATACAGCTTATACACAATTTATTCTACTTCTTTTCAACTTCATTTTTAAGGAGTTGGTATATAAAAGAAAAGTCTTTCTGTCCGTAACCTCGAGATTGGACGATGCGGTACAGTTGAGTGGCAACAGCGCCGAGGGGTATGGGGGAACGAATGCCGAGCGCCATGTTACTTGCTAGTTCTAGATCCTGAAACAAAAAATACATATAATTTAAGCTGTCTTACCCGATTGTCAAAGGAAGGGTAATGTTTTAAAAGCGCATATATGTTTTTCTCTTTGCGATAATCTGCAGCATAAATTGTTTAATGGATTTTTACGTATTAAGTATCATCGGACAGTAGTTTCATACAAAAGTACCTATATTTAATTATAGGGAAAAATTAAGTTTAATTTTTATTTTAACTTTCACTTTTGAACTATCTGTGCTATATTAATTTTAATAAAATTTATATTACAAATTCACTATACATTTACATAGGTAGTGTTTGTAACGAATAATATGTAAACTCGAATGGTGTAAGGAAATAGTATATCTACATATCATTTAAAACACAACATTAGACACAAATATTATCCCTCGACTAAGCATGAAAATTATTTGTTTTAATTATTTTGACGACACGCTTGGCTCAGTTTGTAGTAGCCCTACTTGCTGTGCCAGCGGTCGCGGATTTGAGTCCCGCTGGGGGCATTCATTTATGTGATGAGCACGAATGCTTGTACTCCAGTCATGGTTGTTTATATTTATAATATGTATATATTTAAGGTTATACTTATATATGTGTAGTGTATCAACTATCTGGTATCCATAACACAAGCCTCGTAGCTTATCATGGAACTAGATGGTGCTGTGTGTTAATGCCCCAACATGTTTGTTAATATTATTAATTACTATTTTTTTTGGATATTTAAGTATTCTTAGACTAGGGTAGGGTGTGGGTAGGCACTGCCTGTAACAAGTATATAACGCCTTTGAGACGTCTAAAACCTTAGTCTCTCGCGTGACCATGTGCGCTGTAAAGCTTCGAAACGACGGGAATCAAAAATCAAAATAAATACGCGAAATAATTCGAAAAGATTTTTTTTGGATACTCTAAGAAAACTTTCTAAATATAATTTTTCATGAAATAACTTAATAAAACAACCCATACATGTACTTCAAAGATACGAAAAAGCCTTCATAATACTAAAACCGTCGTTTAAGTCAAATTGTAGCTTCATTATGCCACGTCGCTATCGTGATGTCGCTACATTTGTCATTCAAATCTTTTGTCGCACAGACACCTATTCACACTACCGTTATTCGTACGCTCAGTCACATAAATGTTCATTGTACTGGCTTGTAGAGAGAGAAATTCTTAGTTACTCTACACTCTTCAGAATGTGTTATGTAAAGTAAGAAAAATATAAGAATTTTCTAATACACATTGATGAAGAGTTCATTAATCGATATCGAAATACTTTTTAACTGCTACCTAAGTAATATTAAGTAGTAAAAAAGCACCTTTTATTTAAAAAAATATAAATGAAAATCGGCTTGTAATAGGCGAAGGTACCATACATAAAGCAAAATATATAATATATATAATACATAGTAATGTTTCAAACAGTATAATAATACAAATATATTATTAAGAGAATACTCATTACTATGATAAGTAAATAAATATTAATAAATAAAAATTACGAACGGATTTTATTATAAAAAATAATGTTATCTGTCTTTCAAGGAGGAAGAGAAATAATGCTTAAAGAATACAAAAGAATATACTATATAGTATTATTTATAATTATTCATATTTTCTGTTAAAAATTGCAAATAAATAACTAATACCTATATAAAAGTTCCCTTATTTAAAAAAATAAAGCAAATGATCCGTATGGTAAAATCGAGAATAGTAGCCAAATCAGCTATATTACGATACTATTTTTGACTTTGACATTTTTTTTGGCGGACTCTATATAATTCTTTGGTCTAAGTACATAACATACTCTGTTTAACGTAATAATAAAATTAAAACAAATGTTAAACATGTAATTTTCATCTCATGCTTCGTTTACATGAAAAATTATTCTACAAATTGTTTAAAAATATTCTAATAACTTTAATATTATTATTCTTTTCAAACCGTACCTTAACCACTAGTTCATTACCTTAACCATTAGTTCATTCTTAAATCCACCATCATAGTTTCTACTGGACGGTGCAGTGGGCACTAGTCCAGGTACCGGGCAGTACACTTCAGTAGACCACGATCGTGCAGAAGAATTGTTGAGTACGTCTAGCAGAACTTTTGGGTCTAGACCCATTCTGGAACAAAAATAATATGTTTAATGATAGAACAATTCAATCCATACTTAATATTGTAAATGTGAAAGTGTGTTTGTTTGTCCTTCTTTTACATCGAAACAGAGTAATGGATTAGCGTGATTTTGTATGGAGATAATTAGAAGGCTGGAGAGTGATATAGACTACTTTTTACCGCGGTAGATCATCTCATTCACATCGGATTTCTTTTTATAATACAACTTACGACCACTCATTATACCTTTATACCTATATATCTATATAAATAAAAATAAATCGCCGAAATGTATGTACGCGCCGCATACCTAACTTCCGATCGACTGCACCAAATTGGATAATTTTTTTTTATTATGTTTGTTATTGTCAGGACAAGTTTTGTATAGAAGAAAATGAATTTTTTTTTTTAATAAAATGAGATTTTTTTTAATTTCATGATATTAAAAGTGAGTGAAATAGTTTTAATCCCAGAAATTATCCCTTAAGGGGGTGAGAATGGAGATGAAAGTTTGTATTTTTGTATGGGGAAGCAAACTAGGGACGAACTCGAAGCGAAGCGGCGAGCGAAGCGAGGGTGAGTCGCTAGTATATAATATATTTTTTTCTATCTATTTCATACTAACCGTTAAAACGTACCTAGGAGCACGGTAGGGTGAGTCGCTAGTATAATAATAAAGTGGGTTTAAAATACATATTTTATTACCTATCTGATTTGTAACTTTACTTGAGAAAAATTTTGTACGCTTACGCATTTATTATACTGAATTTCAAAGCGTTTACACGAATAGTAATGTAAATAAAAATGGCTAATAAATATTATTTATCTATTCAACTAAATTATGATCTCCGATTCCGTTCCTTGACAGACTTTGATTCAATAAAAGATTGTACAAAGCAAATTGTACAATTTTTTTCCCAATACAAGGTATGTCATAAAATTCCACTCATATCAGCACTCACACGAAAACCTTTTAAAAGCTAGAGCTGTAAAAATGTGACAATGGTTTCACTTTCAAATAAAATTATCTTCGACGCCAAAACCATCGTAAATCTTCGGTGAATTGTCGAGAAATTTTGGCCTCGACTCGTTTAATAAAAACCCTACCCTCATTTCCATATAAATATGATTGGAAGGTTACAGTTTGATGTCTGGACTGCCTGCAAGTATAACTGAGATCGGCATTTCCCTATGAATTAGAGCTGAGAGCATCAGAATTAGAATTACCCTTTTTACTCCAAGGTTTATATTAAAATCAATATATGTATGTATTATCATATCTTCCATCATATTTTACTTTAATTTTGGTCTTGTTTATACTAATATATTTGTATAGAAGATGTTTACAATAAAATATTACGTTATAATGTTTGTGCCTCTAATTTTCCTTGTTTGTTCATTCGAGCATTACGCAAAAAATACTAAATCGATTTTGTTGGAATATTTAGTGTTTTGTGCTCAAAATTTAATTTAAAAGTTGTGCCTTAATTTAATGAATTATATATAGAAAGAGATATAATATTCAAATCAAGAAGATAGGAAGTAATCTAATACCGGACTTTTCGCTTATGCTTGCGTCTGTCTTATCTACGAAATAGAACAAGTACCCTTAGTATAAGTATGTTTCACCATAACACTAGATATTATATACTAATATTCTATACATGAAATATATTTTTTAGGTTTTAAAGCTCTCATTTATGATACAATCAGTCTAACTTTAAAAAACCTTTTGCATTGTTAGCCTATATTTATTGAATAAAGATAATGGCTCATAATATCACGCTTAGGACTTAAATAACGAGCGGAGTCGCGGGCAAAAGCTAGCTTTAACGTGAAAACGTATCTTTTAAAACCCTTAGAATGATAACACATATTGTATGTCAAAATATTCATAATATATATAAAACAAAAACAAACCTATCCCACGGGAACCGAACATTTTTGCGAAATAAAAAGCCTATGTGTTATTCTAGATTATAATCTATCTCTGTGCCAAATTTCATCCAGATCCGTTTAGCCGTTCTGGCGTGAAAGAGTAACAAATATCCATACCTACTCACAAACTTTTACATTTAGGTATAATATTTATACAGATATTGTATGTCAAACCCAAAAAAACTAGACATCTACTTAAAATAAGAATTGAAAAATTCTCCCAATTCCTGTATCATCATTAAAATATTCCAACACCATGAAGTTGTAAAACAAATTAAACATCACTCTGAGCTCATACAAAATTGTCTCACGTAATTAAATTAAATCGCATACACGTCTTGAAGATGAAAACAAAGTTTATTTAGGATTTCCAACAGTAAGCTGTAACGCTAAGTTATATAATAAAACCTATTCATATATTAAATTTGCAATATATAGAGGTTTATTGAATTTATGTTTCTAAAATTTTCAAGGCAAATTATGTATTAGTAATTAAAAAATTCATGTACATATTTTTAAGTAGGTAATTTTATTTAGCCCTTTTTAACGTCCCACTGCTAGGAGTGGGCCTCCCTTCAATACGAGGGGGATCAGGCCATAGTCCACCACGCTGGCCAAGTGCGGGTTGGCGGACTTCACATGTCTTTCGAAAACTTGCTAGGTTCTCTCAGACATGCAGGTTTCCTCACAATGCTTTCCTTCACTGTTGTATAAATACACAACATGTAATACCATGTTTGTTGAAATAAATATGAATTTTGATGATGATACAGGAATTGGAGAATTTTTCAATTCTTATTTTTACGTGATATAACTATCTAGTTTTTTGGGTTCAGCAAACATACAAATGTTGTAATGTATTCAACGCAGTTTATAACTATCTACTTATTCAATTCAATTTTCTTGTTAATAATAGCTTCAAAGCATATTCTACTTATAACTTATTAATTATTGATTGGTTATATTTATTTTATTCATTATTTTAATGTACATAACGAAAATTTTGTGTAACCGTCGATCATATAAATAACCTATTTTAAACGAAATTATTTACATAATTTTTCATATATTTAAATTAAATATATTTGGAGATAAATTTAACGTATACAACCGCATTACCAAGAAACTCTGTATTTGAATCCGTGAATTATATATGCACGACAAGCGACCCCCCATCGCTCAGCTCTCTAACTATATTATAGGTGTCTTTAGAATAGAACCCCACGATTTTACATCCCATAAAATTGACCTAAAACCGTACATGACCTGAATTTGTTACTCCTATCGATGCGTTATCTATTTTAAAATGTAAAATTTATGTAAGGCTAAAACATTCGTTCGGTACCCTTTTGCTCTTCTGTTTATCAACTTTATTTCTTTTTTTTTTGTTTATTAGATATTGACAAGCTTTATTAGTGTTATCAATAATAGTAACTGTTTTTCTTTACATATTTATACAAAAAAAAACTATTTCCAATTTTTATTGGCAACAATAAAGCTCGTCAATAGCTATAAAACAAAAACAAAAAAGAAAATCCGTTAACAATATGAGGAGAAAAAGGTACTGAAATGTTTTGTCCTTGCCTATTACATAGATAATAAATGTAAAATAAATATATAATACATATGGTATTATATATTTATGATATATATATATATACTTATTTATACACATACATTTTATTATTATTATTATTATTATTATTATATTATATATCTATACGCGACAAATAGAATTTTTTACACCACCCGGACACTGAATCCTGATACTAAAACGCAGCTGTACACAACACGATCTTTTATATTACTTTAAAGTTTAACGTTTCTACCTCCCATTATTACAACGTCACTTAGCCAGCCTTGCCGAGATCCTTTTATTACTCTACGTGACTGTATTTCCGTTTCATAGCAAACTGATGGGCAAATTAACAATAATGAAAAGCTATGAAGTCGGACGGCGGCAACGCGATGGTAAATTACAAATTCCTTTGATTTATCTTTTATTATAATAAATAAATCGTTAGAATGAAACTTAATAAAAATTTATGGTATAATCTTGTTAAAACTTTCGCATAAATATTTAATATAATAATTAGACTTACTCGTGATTTTTTTAGAATAGATACAAAGAGAATATAAGCTACTAGCGAAACACCCTCACTCCTCTCGGGTTTGTCCCTGTTTCAAGGTTAGTATAGATTTGTCAGAGATGAGATATTTTCCCGTAGTAAAAATTATGTTGAAAATATGCTGGTTACCCTATATGTTCACCCGGACAACCGGATGGTTTTCTCGTTATGCGTTCCCAGACAGACAGACAGACAGACAGACAGACAGACAGACAAATAAATATTGCCTATATAGCTATTATTTTCACTGTAGTTTTTCTTAACTTCTTCTATGAAAATTCTTTCTTTTAGTAGGTACATTAAAGGTGTTGTGAATACTATCGAGATAAAAAACATAGTAATTAGATCAAGATTTACTAAACAATTTACAATTTAACAAAATTATAGCATTTCCTATTCCGTATCCTGCGGAAACTGTTATTATAGATAAAAAATCCCAATTTAAAAGGCCCGCAAAAGTCGTAACCAGTTAAATCGCCAGTTAAATCGTTACGGAAATTAGCTTGAATCAACCTTTCAAAGAAGTGTATAAAGTTTTTATTTGAAGACTTTATAATGAAATGAACAAAAAATAGATCCAATAATATGTTTGTTACTAAAAAGGTTCACTGCCTTCAAAATTGTTTTAGATGACGAATATATTGCTATACTAGCGAATATACACCAAAACAATAACAAATGTGTCCCGCGGGAACCGTATATTTTTCTGGGACAAAAAGTACCCTATATATTATTCCAGACTATAATCTATCTCTGTGCCAAATTTCATTCAGATCCGTTAAACCGTAATAGCGTGAAAAAGTAACATACATCCATACTCACAAACTTGCACATTTATAATTTTAGTGTAGACAAAAATCTTTTTGGATTCGGTCAAAAATAGCTAGAAGAACGCTACAAAACACTTACTTTATTCCCATATTCATACATTCAGCAGTAGCCATACCAGTGATACCCATGAGCATGTTATTACTCAACTTGGCAACTTGGCCAGCACCTATATCTCCACAGTGGAACTGCTTAGCACCCATCGCTTCGAGCAACGGGACTGATCTATCAAAGTCTTCCTTTCTTCCTCCTGCCATAAAAGCTAGTGTAGCATTCTGTGCTCCCATAACACCTGAAAAAATTAAAATTTAATGACATGTTACAGTTTGTTGCTTCACTGTTAAATTTTTTTCTTGCCCACATCCAAACCACCATATTTTTACATTTGATGATATTGCTAATTTGTATTTATTTTTTAATTTGTACTCTTCTTATAGAAGACTTTATTTAATATTTTATTACTTGTTCTAGTCCTTGTAAAGTCCATTCAGGTTTTCGATTTTATCAGATTGAGAGTTCTAGTACTTTCTTAGCTCTATCTCGAAATTTTTCAGGCACCAAAATTTCAAACAGTTTTACATTTCACAATATTTTCACAATAAAATCTAAATAAGCAAATTAATTTGCGTCTATGCTCCAATGAAGTGACGGATCAGTGAAGCAACCAATCAAAACAGACCAATCCCTCCAAGTTTTACTACTAATGACCATTTAACTACGATAATTACAATATGACTAAAAGTGCTTAGTAAAATTATAATGTAACTAAAACTAAGATTGTTCCGTGATATTATAAGAAACTAGCGACTCATTCATCCCTAGATACGTTTAAACGGTTAGTATGGAATAGACTATATATAACATAGCCTATTTAAGGCACAAATTATCAGTTCTGAGCTTTACGATTTTTCAGTTTTTGTTTTCGGTTTCCCCCTATTTGATTATACTTAAACCACCCCTGACACACCTCCAACAAAACAAAAAAAGAATTATTTAAATCGGTCCAGCCGTTTTTGAGTTTTTGCGAAAATAACGAACGAAAATTGATTTTTATTTATATAGATGGAGACGATTGACAAAAGTCCGAAGTCCATAGTCCGTAAACTCATAATTTCACAGCTTTTACTAATGTAAAAGCAGGGATATTTCCCTGAGACATAAGTATACAAAGCTGGAAAAAAAGATCTAGAAAAAACCAATTCTAAGTAAAACAGTAAATATAGTAGATAAAGATCCTTATAGTGTACTCGTTATCAAGCACTTGTTTGTATTCATCAAATATAAACAAGCATTAGATATGAAATACTTAAATTATTATTTAATATCTCAGCTTATCTTATCGAACATATCTGTCATATTAACGTATATATGTAAATAAGATATAAAAAAAACATATTTGACTTGATATATCTTTATGAATTTATTTTATTATTCGTATTTACTTTTGCTTATTCAATGTTAAGCATTTGATTTAAAAAAATAAGGAATATGATATTGTAATTTTAAGCTTTATTTATGAAAGCTTTTCTTAAAAGCTTTATTAAAAAAACGTTTGCGTGTAGATACTTATGTATGCACGTATGAAGTTATACTTCTTTAGCGTAACAGAATAAAAATAGCTAAAGATTTCTTCCTGAACGTGACAACTCTCTGTTTGCAAAAGGAATGCAGCTAACTTCATCATGTCGCTTTCCGCTAACTTCATCATGTTGCTTTTTGGCTGTCAGAGTGCGCGCGCATCGTAAAAGTAACTCTCTCTACAATACTCTCATAAGTTTTTCCAAACGTGATAAAAGAAGTATAACTTCAAAAATTATACTTAATTAAAAAAAACTAATTGCATATATTCAAAATACTGAACTATTACTTCGTAGAAAAAATCAAGATTATGTCAAATGCCTTTAGAATTCCGTCAACAAAGACGTCAGCTAAGTTTTCGTTGAAAATTGCCATAGTGACAATGAACATTCAATCCTCGGGCTATTTTAATCTGACACTGGCTATCGCTTGCTTCAATTCATTTTGTAATCATCTTTTTTCTTGAATAAAAAAGCAACTAGATTTTTAAAGAATCTTCAAGAACTCCATTGTGTCATTAAACTATTATATATTTTTTATTATATGTATAGATATAATTGCCAAACACACATTTTTAGGACTTCGTCCTTAAGATTTCCACAAAAAAATGATGTCTATAAAGTCCCATTGCCATTGGTGATGGAGTTGCACTGTGAGTTATGACGGATTACCCAACGAGATAAAAAAAAATTTCTGTGATGTAAATCAATCATTTTCCCGGAGGAAATATTTTTAAATGACTATCTTTCAGATTTTATTGCGGTTTTATTTTATATTTTTGTTAGTAAGCTTAATAGTAGTTTGGCATAAGCTTCTTATTAAAGTTGATATTAGGTATATATCAGAAAACTTAACATTTTATGTTATCGCAGTCACAAATATTATTTATATTGTATAATCTTCTTTGACGAAAATAAAGGTTAGGAAGTTATCAAATCATACGACAATAACGTAACACTGACAAAGTAAATAATCAATATCTCGTTAAAATAATAAATCAATAATTTTGTTATTTAGATTAAAATACATTTCTAATTAAATCTATATTAATATTATAAAGAGGTAAAGTTTGTGAGTTTGTAAGTTTGTGAATTTGTAGGGGGTAATCTCTGGATCTACTAAACCGATTTAGACAAAATTTGGTAAGAAGATAGTTTGAGACCCTGGGAAGGACATATTAAACTTTTTATCCTGAAAATCTTGCCTTAAAGGGTTGAAAATGGGGATGAAAGTTTTGTATGGGGAGCTAAGCTAGGCACGAACCCGAGAGAAGCGAGGGTGAGTCGCTAGTTATTAATATACAGCATAGAGTATCTTATCTAAAAATTCTAACTAAAAATATACTTTTGCTTCTGCCTGGTAAATACATTTTGAAAATGTAGCTACTTACTAACTACTCACTCTCCTTAGTGAAAAACAAAAACAAATCTATCCCACGAGAACCGTACATTTTTCCGGGATAAAAAGTACCCTATGTGCTGTTGTAGACTATAAAATATATCGGTGCCAAATTTGATCCAGATCTGTTCAGTCGTTCTGGCGTGATTGCGTAACAAACATCCATCCAAACTTTCGCATTTATAATATTTACGGGATTAAGTAAAGACACGTAAAAATATCAAAGGTGCGAGATCCAGGAATTGAACCCACTTCACTCGGTTTTCCCAAACCAAGTACGAATTATTATTTATGAAAATTCTTGGCGGTCATATGGTATAGCACAATGATTACAAGAAAAAAACATACACCGAAATCGAATACCAAAGAGGAGATACAAGTTATGCATATTTTATAATACACCGCTTTGGGGAACCAAAAATCAAAATAAATTCGCGAAAAAACCGAAAAGATAGTTTTATTTAAAATACTGCTTTAGCATATAGATTTGTATCGTGCGCCCTAGGTTACATAAGTGGACTGTCTATTGATTTTAGGATCAACATCACTAGTAAAAATTTAAAAGGACAAGTGCGAGTCTTACTCGTACACCGAGAGTTCCTTCCAGAGAGAGCGAGAGAGAGTAGGATGAAACATTGAATATCTTAACGGAAATTATAAATATATGTACATATTTTAACTACAAAATACATCACTGGAAGTGATATTATTTTTAACTTATAACAAGAGTGTTGTTAAAATATTGGTCTTCAATAATTTGACTAAATGTTAATAAAATGCTTCTAAAATTATGTCAAAATACAATTTCATAGTATTATTATAAAATACAGCAACGTATTTACGCCGCGTGCCGCAAACGCGTGAAACATAAAATATCCCATATCTCATACGGAACCCTAAATATACGGGAATAGCATATTCATTACATAATTTTAATGTTTTATTAACCATAGAAATAGAATTCCTTGTCTAAGCCTATAGATTTATTAAAAATAAAAATATTTAAAAATTTACCTCCAGACACAGGGGCGTCGATAAAACCAACGCCGCTTTCGATAGCTTTAGGGTAGATCTCTTTGGGAACATTTGGGTCCACCGTACTTGAGTCAATGAGAAGGGAGCCTTTTGGTGCCTGTAATTATAGAAAAAATATTTATGGATACATAAAAATATATATTGTAAAATGAGTACTTTTAATCGACTACATATAAGGAAGGTAAAGGAGGTAAGATTTTCATAATAATTTCAATGAATTTACTACGAAATTTTAAAATCCATGACGTTTTTTTTAAATTAATAATTTTTAATTACTTAAGGGATAATTATAACCAATCTGTAATATAAATCTATACTATGTATACTAATATTAAAAATGTAAAACTTTGTGAGTATGTATGGATGTTTGTTACTCTTTCATGCCAGAACGGCTGAACGGATCTGGATGAAATTTGGCACACAGATAGATTATAGTCTGGAATAATACATAGGTTACTTTTTATTCCGGAAACATATACGGATCCCGAGGGATAGATTTGTTTTTGTTTTGAAGCGAGGGTAAGCCGCTAGTAAAATATAAATAAATAGAGTCAAATATTTAATTCCGTATATATTTGAAATATTCAAGCGCAAGTTGCAAAATGAATAATATTATTGGTTCTGTATATAATTTCAACGTGGCTAACCACGTTTAAAATTTAAACTGAATAACTAATTAGAGATTAAAAGCATTAAACTTAAGTAAAACATTCGTCAAAAACGTTCCACAACATCGCTCATAAAAATTGTTTTCTTTTCCTTTAAAGTTGCGACTTGACTTCTGCGACGCTTCAAAATAGCCTTTCATCAGAAGCCTATAGAAATTCTGTTTTACTTCAAGAGAGTAGATTCGTCTTAGAAAAACATCGCGATGCTGTCGTTTTGTAAAAATATTCTTATTTTCCCTACATTTTATTCATCACTCTTTAGACTAGACTCGACATGTTTGGTTCTAAATTCCTACGTTTTTGAGAGATATTTTACGATCTGTTACTTCTAGAGTTTATATACATATAAATTGTAGAATTCATTTCTTGGGGTTTTTTTTACAATATAGAGAAGAGAGTGTGGTTGTTTAAATGTAATTTGTTTATAATGTAGAGTTTGGTTTTCAGGTCTCAGCTAAAATAAAATATAAACAAAAAAAATAGAATAATATGAACATAATCGATTTTCGGACGAATCGGACGCTTTTAATGTTTTACAGCAGTCATGGTCACGGGAGAGACATGCCAAGAACCAAAAATCGAAACAAATCGGCGAAAAAGTCTGAAATGAAAGGTTTTACTTAAACTGTCAAATATTCGCTTTCTACACTTTCATCTTCAATCTATATTATATACATACATTTAATATATATTAAAATTCTGAGTCGAATCTGTACATTAAATATTTTTTGGAAAATATTATCCAAATAGTCATTATTATCGATATTAGAGGCCGTATCTATAGTTTTTAGATGTTTTGGTTTGTCTATCTGTCTGGGAGCGCGTGACGAGAAAACCACAAGACAGATTTTGATGAAATTTAGTATTATGATAGCTGGTTATCCAGGTCAATATGTAGGATACATTTTACTGCGGGAAAATCTCATCTCTGAGAAATCTATACTACCCGTTATTACCGTATTATACCGTTATATTTATATTAATTTTTATATTTATACTTTATGGCCTTTAATCAGTCAATTTACCATAAAATAAAATAATAAGAATATAATCTCACATGCTTAACAACACCATCCTTGCCAAGATATGCCTCTAGGACGACTTTGTTACTTGGCAGAATAGATACGACCACGTCTACACCGTCCACTGCGGCCGCGATAGAGTTGGCACTGGTCACACCGGTCTTGTCTGCCGCTGATAATGCGTCCTTCGATGGGTCATAGCCTCGAACTTTGAAGCCCTGGAATTAGAAAAAAATATTATATACGTAATCTATATGTATAGTATATTAAAAGTCTATAAGTTAAATTAAAGTATGTATATATATGTTTGTATGTTACTTATAAGTTACTTTTTATTAAGCTTTTATATTATTTGCGCGATATTACAGTCAAGACAACCTCGATTACAAGTCGCCGTAAAACGTACAATAAAAAATTAACACCGTCTCTATATATACATATTATGTAATCATAACTGCCTCGGTGGGGTGGTGTCGGGTGGTGGTTTAGTGTCTAGCATGTGCGGCTGTAGATCCAAAGGTCCTGGGTTCAAGCCTGGGTCGAACCAAGTTTAATAACTAAGTTATTCTGTTAAATGCCCCGAATTGAGGTTTAATTTGAAATTAAAGATGTACTCTTTATTTGTGAAACAAATCTTTTACTTTGGTCTGTTTGGTATTATTTACAAAATCGACTTTTGATACAATAATACGAATTTAATGTGTTTTTCATTGCTATTCGACCTTAAACATTTACGCGAAAACTGTCTATCTGCATAATTTAACATGATCTTTACATAAATTGAACGAATTTTAATTTTAAATACCAGTAAAAGCAGAATTAAATGAATCTTCGAATTTTAGGGTTCTGTTTGAAAGACGTAAACTCTAATCTATATAGTATTTAGTATATATATATATATATATATATATATATATATATATATATATATATATATATATATATAATCTACACAAAAAAATCAATCGCTACACAATTTACAACACGTTACCTCTGACCAGCAAAAGAACAGCAAAACTCACCACTTGAATTTATATTTTTCTACTGGACAGATATTTATTTTGAACATTTAAAATGAATTTTTATACTATTTGATGATTCATTACTTGATTTCAATTTTTAATTTATTGTGAAATTGGATCCAATTGGATCTCTTCAGACTCGAATATTTCATTCTTTTAGGCTTTTTTCTGCGTAGTTTCTTCTTTATAATTAAAATGGCAACCAGTCCTGGTTTCATTATATTTTAATGACTGAAAATATTTATTGTATTGGAACATAAACATTAAGAAACATTTACAATTTTTATGTATGAACATTGCGTGTTTGTTTGTGCTCATTGTAAAAACAATAGATATCATAGTAAGGTACTTCATTTTTCATTATTAACCTTAGCGAGTATCATGGCATGACGACACGTTTGGCTCAGTCTGTAGTGACCCTACTTGCTGTGCCAGCGATCGCGGGTTCGAGTCCCGCGGGGGGCATTCATTTATGTGATGAGCACGAATGTTTGTACTCCAGTCATGGGTATTTGTATTTATAATATGTATTTGTTTAAAGTTATATGTGTAGTGTATCAACTATCTGGTATCCATGACACAAGCCTCGTAGCTTACCTAAAACTAGATGGTGCTGTATGGTAATGTCCCATTATATTTATATTTATTTATGGGATAGTGCGATTTACAGTGATTTTCTTGAACAGCGAACGACCCCTTCAATATCCAGTCCATGAATACAGGACTTCTTCTGGTACATAAATCATTTAATCTTCTTCATCTTGATTACGTACAAAGAACCACATGTCACATTTAACTGTATATCGTAATTTAACTCCAGTCTTATACGCCATAGTATAATGCAAGATATATACATACATACATAAGTATTTGCAATGTAAAAATACTTCAAATCGGACCAGTAGATTTAAACGCTTTCAAACAAACTCTTCGGCTTTATATATTAGTAGATATACAATATGCATATTATATAATAAAAATAAATTATTTTACATAAATTACTTAGTATTATACAAGTCCACTTCTACAAAGGTCGTATAATTCATTCAAGTCAAATGTCAAAAGTTTCCAGACTAACACTACTAAATAGAAATTGTTAGCGAATAACCGCGCTCTTTGGATGTAAAATACTTAGGTATATAATATGTATGTACAATGTACATACAAATACACGAGTAAAAATAATACATACAAAATCTATACTACTGATTTGGCGAAAATTTTATAGAGGTGGATAAGAAAGTGTTCGATGCCGCAAGAGGTGTTATATACACGATATCAGTTACAAACTAGCCCTCATATTAGAGTAGAAGACAAAAAAAAAACCTTTTCACCATCAAAGCATAGAAAACTATTCCATAAAATGAAAGCAAGATACGTTTAGTATTATATAATATTAATATAACTGGCAGACACGAGTTTTTCAATTAAATACCCTTATATCGCGTTTGCTTGAGACAGAAATGTGGCATTCGGTCATTGCCGATCGTTCGGTGCGATAAGTATCGATGAAGGAGAACTTTCTGACCTCATTATGTTATTATAAGGAAAATTATTTTAAAAGCTTATATCTATACATATAATATTTGGTAAATACATAATACATGCATATGAAAATAATAGGTATAAAATGTAGTTCCTATCTTCTTTATAAATAACTACTTGCTTCCCCATACAAACTTTAATCCCCATTTTCACCCCCTTAAGGGATGATTTCCGGAAAAAAAGTATCCTATGTCCATCCTAATGTCTCAAACTATCTTCTTACAAATTTCATCTAAATCGGTGAAGTAGATCCAAAGATTACCCTACAACGTCACAAACTCACTCACAAACTCACAAACTTTACCTCTTTATAATATTAGTATAGAAAATGAATGGTCGTATGTTTGTCCTCTATGCAAAATGTAACTTATAGTTTTGTTTTATTTCCAATATGAATAGAGCAACAAAAGAGCTTTTAATTTACCTTGATAACTATTTCTTTGTTTTCATTTTCACAATTTAAATGTTGTACAGTCTAATTAATTGTTTTTTTAGAAATATTATTAACAAGATATTTATTTTTTAATCACACACACACACACACACACACATATATATATATATATATATAAATTGCTGTTCGTTAGTCTCAAACTCAAAAACTGCTGGAAATTCGAAAAGTTTAAAGATATCGCTAACCGCTAATACGTACCTAGCGAAGAACCCGAGCAAAGCCAGGGTGAGTCGCTAGTTTATCATAAAAATGTTAATGACGAAAGATGAAAAGAACATCAAACAATACACTATCATTCCTTATCAATTTTAAGATAACACTCCATTAACATAAAACGTTAAATAAATTGCTCTGTATTATATATACTTACTTTTATTTAAACGTGATAAAAAGCCGCTACAATTATGCAATCTAAAATAGTGATACATCACATATCTATCCGTTACATAAGTCTCTACTATAATCCGTTACATAAGTACTCTATAAAGAGTTAATATAAATATTTATATTTTAAATTTTCTCTCTATATATTCTCTATATAGATATATAGAACATACCGCTGTGACCAAAATCTGTTATGGAGATTTTTTTATACATATTATGTAATTATGTATGTACATGTATTATATTCGTAAGCTACAAAACTTGTATATATTATGTAGTTTAATTATTTATTCATACCAATGTTCGTTCAGTGCTCGAAATTCGACCAGAATTATATCGTAGCCTTTTTTTTTAACGTTGGGAAATGCATTTACGCACGACGTGTGGGACTCACCGGCGTAATACAGCCAGTACTACCCACTAAAACCCAACAAAACCTTCCCCGTCTTTATGGGGCGTCGCAGGATCGCTTACGCATTCAACTACGACGCCCCGACGGCAAGTCTGCCAAAGCAGACCACCACAACCATGGGGTTGCTCCAAGGTCCACTCTGCTATCAGAGAAGTACCAGGAGCAACCCGCAAGGTACACCGCCCCCCGAAGAGGGCCACCTCCCACCGCCCACCGAAGTGGGCAACCTCCCTGTGCGTTTCTTAGCTTCGCTACTACTACTGAGCCCCCCCACCACGACAAGGTGAACGCACGTTGGGGGGGAGAATTATATCGTAGCCTGTATTATGTTAAGGCAATGGTAACGCGGTCGCTTGGGAAACCAAGTGAAGCGGGTTCAAATCCCGGGTCTCGCACCTCTGATATTTTCGTGTACGAATCATTTCCAACATGATTGCAACTTGTCTTAACGGTGAAAGTCTTGTCTTAATCGTGAGGAAACCAGCATGTCTGAGAAAACCTAGCAAGTTTTCAAAAGACATGTGAAGTCCGCCAATCTGCACTTGGCCAGCGTGGTGACAGGTTGACAGGATCAAAAAATCTGTAGCAGTATTATCTTGTGTGATTCAATGTATCATGATCAGGTCTGGTATATACTCTTACCTAATTGTAAGATATAGATATCTGTACTAATATTATAAAGAGGAAAGATTTGATTTTTTGTTTGATGTTTGTACTAAATAGGTTCCGAAACCACTGGACTGATTTAGATGAAATTTGGTAAGAAGATAGTTTGAGACTCTAGGAATAGCATAGGATAGTTTTTATCTCGGAAATCATCCCTTAAGAGATGAAAATGGGGATGAAATTTTATATGTCTATGTTTTGTATATCTATAATAATAAAATGCGTATTTATTTTATCGATATAGAGCTTTCGCTGAATTTTTTACCCCAGTTTTTCTATATAATACGAAACTTAAATATTAAATTTTTCATATACAAAGTATTAGTATTAGCAAAGCAAGCAAGCATTTTAAATATTTTATTTTGAAACCCGCTATTTCCCGTAATTTCATTTGCGTAGATTTTTATAATGAAATATGTATTGAAACAAAATTCCTAGCTCGATACGATTTTTTAATACATATAAATTTACTAGAATAAGAACTTTTTTTATTACAATTTAACAAGTACAAAAATCTTATTATAAAACTGTCTTTGTTTTGTCAAAAATGCGTTAAAAAGGAAAAATATTTTATACTGAAAAAAATATATTTTTATAATATTTCATTCTTTATTACAAAATACTTAACCTTATATATATAAATATTTTAAAATGAGCAATAATTCATATTTAAATGAGTATAAAACGCCCACTCTATAACTACATAGCTATTTATTTAAGAACAGCAATTATTGGAACCATTTTCGGTTCCTAATGTTTTTTTCATGTTATTTACATCTTTGGTCAGTGGTTATGTTTTAGAAAACATTATTTCCATTGCAAGTAGATTCTAGTACATTACACGTAAAAATTATTATGTTATAAACTAGTGATATGTTCTCACTTTGCTCAAACCCTAACTATAACAATTGATATTACACATAATGTTTAATATTTTTTTACAATATAGTAATATATCAATGTCCTCGAACCTAAAGTTAAATTTCTAAGAAATCTATTGTTAACTGTAACGCCGGCGTGTCCGCGGTCTTGGAGGGATTAAGTATAATTTATCAGTCGCCGGTTAAAATCTATACTAATATTATAATGAGCAGAGTTTATTTGTTTGGACGCGTTAATATCAGGAACTACAAATCCGAATTGAAAAATTATTTTCGAATTAGATAACCAGTTTATTGAGGAAGGCTAGTCTCTATATCGTATAATATATAGTCTATCTATTACATACTAACCGTTAAAACATTCCCATGGACGAACCCGATGATGAGTTAGTATTAAATAATTCTCTATCTTACTCTATCGACAACCGGTTCATAGAATTAAATAATTAACATCAACATTCCTATTAACATGTTTACATCAAAACTAACCTAAAAATTAAATAAATACCTTTTTCACAAGATTTGCAGCCATGTAGCCTCCCATATTGCCGAGGCCAAGAAAAGCAACATTTTTGTCTGCTTTCGAACTATAATGTCTTGATAAAATAACAAATCGGTTAACTGTATGCGACGCCATTGCTATAAATACATGCGTGACCGGCGCTTGCGCAGTACAACTGATCGTTTTTGATTATGCTATATGCGTGGCGTTGTCATTTGTTTGACTAAAATTATTTAATAATGATAAGTTAAATTACATTTATTTTAGTTGTTGCTACCTAGAGATGTTTTCGATATCTTGAGTTTAAAAGTAAATTTAAAAATATTAAAATGTTTCATATCCAATTGCTTTTAAGAGGCTAAAAAATTATTTAAAAATTAAAAGATTTCACTGTCAAGTCCAAATAGGGACATTAAAGAAAAACCTGTTTTTCAATTTATTTCAAAGGTGAAAATTATAATTCATGGAGCCTAAGATATAAAGGAAAAGGTCCATTTCGCTTTTTCCAATACTCTCAAAATATTGTTAAAAAAGCACGGCTTTATTTACTTTGTTAAAAAAAAATTACCACGAATTCTGTAATCAATATAGGTACGTACATTACATATAATAAAATTCTAACTAAGCTGAATCTGTACATTAAATATTTTTTGGAAAATCTTATTGAAATAGACATTATTATCGATACAGAGGCGAATCTATAGTTTTTAGAATTTTTGTCTGTCTGTCTATCTGTCATATTATAATTTATAACCCACTGGAGGGATTTGGATGAAATTTGGGATTGTGATAGCTGGGTATCCGGGTCAACAAGGTCATAGGATACTTTTTACCCCGGTAAAATATCTCATTTCTGAGAAAAAATAGAAAAACTGCAATGTAAGAGTAAACTAATATGTAAAACTTAAGAATTTGGTTTTTGGTCATCTGAACGCGGGCGGAGCCGCGGGCGATGCTAGTTTAAATATAAATAGTTATTGCAAGTGTGCCTTATGAGATAGACTCATATGATATCGCGGATTTTTCTGTAGACCTTTTTAAGTTAAACCTTGTTAAACCTAACATGACTCCAATTATTAAAACCGTTATTGTGTTTACCCGTGGAAATAAAAGATTTTTCTCCAGTAAAAGGTATCCTAAATGTTGATCCTAGTAATAAGTTATAACCACACAAAAATTCATGTAAGTCGTCATCGACATGGTCACGTGACGTGTTTACGCTAACACTCAGAGTGCCGATAGATGTCAAAACCAGATAAATGTAAATAGTTTTAATTCACAAATTTTAATTTAAGATCAAACAATTAATTTGAATATTCAAAAATAACAACTGTTTGTTTTAAGTTTTTACTTCTGTCGGCAGTCTTCATGACGGCTTTTTTTATTATTAACGTGCTCGTGACTCGTGACTGCTAAACAAAAAAAAAAATAAGTCGACAAACAGAGCAGAAAAAGGTACTGAAATGTTTTATCTTTAATTATTTATGACAACACATTTGGCGCAGTTTGTAGTGACCCCACTTGTTGTGCCAGCGGTCGGGGTTCGAGTCCCGCTGGGAGCATTTATTTATGCGATGAGCACAAATGTTTGCACTACAGTCATGGGTGTTTATATTTGTAATATGTATGTATTTAAAGTTGTATATGTGTAGTGTATCAACTGGTATCCATAACGCAAGCCAAGCTGTGTGTTGCTGTGTGTTAATGTCCCAACATATTTATATTATATTTTTATTAAAACACAATTAATATGGTTTGTATTGTACTAGCGACTCACCCTCGCTTCGTCACCCAGGTTCGTCCCTAGGTTAATTTCAAACATAATTTCATCCCCATTTTCACCCCCTTAAGAGATGATTTCTGGGATAAAAACTATTTTATGATCTTTCCAAGGTCAAACTATCTTTTTACCAAATTTCATTTAAATCGGTTATTTAGTTTTGGAGCTTATTCAGTACAAACAAACAAACAAGCAACCAAACAACCAAACAAACAAACAAACAAACAAACAAACAAACAAACAAACAAACAAACAAACAAACAAACAAACAAACAAACAAGCAAACAAACAAACAAACAAACAAACAAACATCAAAACCTTCCTCTTTATAATATTAGTACAAATAATATTAGTTTAAAAGTAAAAAGAACGAATCTACTATTACTTTTTACGCTTACGAGACAGAGATACAATAAAATTTTCCTTCATTCCCTGCCTTAAAATGACAGTCAAAAAGAAATATATAATATTTATAACAGCAATTTTATTTCCCATTTCTATACTTTAGTGTGTCTAACCGCAATCAATATATATTTTAAAGCTATGCACTGACCACATATACATTCACTCGACAAAATGCGGTGGATAGTGAACTATTGACCGCTTATGGCTTTGCAGCGATTGACCCATCAGAATGCTTTAATTTGTTACTTTGCAATTAACTAAATAAGACAAGCTATATACACACATTTATTTTCAAATTAATACGTATTTATTCTCCTACTAGCGGCTCACTATCGCTTCGCTCGGGTTCGACAATAAAAAACCTATCCCACAGGAACCATACATTTTTCCGGGATAAATAGCCTATATGTTATTCCAAACTATAATCTATCTCAGTGCCAAATTTCATCCAGATCCGTTCAGTCGTTCTGGCGTGAAAGAGTAACATACATATATCCATACATACATTCTTACAAACTTTCGCGTTTATAATATTAGTAGAATAACTGAGATTCATATACAGATTTCTATTTTATTAGATATTTGAAAATTGACATTACACTTATCATGCGACATGCGATATCGCATGCTAACTAGTTCAAATACGGGGTTAGAAAAAAGAAATAGATAGTTTAAGTTACTTTCTGGTCTACAAATGGACCAATTGTTGTTTATTATAATAATACTAGCGACTCACCCTCGCTTCGCTCGGTTTCATCCCTAGGTACATTTTTTTTGAGCGGAACCCTAATTAATTCTTTTATTGAAATAAAAATAGCCTAAGTTACTCCTTATAACATCAACTACATGCCAGTAAAAGTCCCATCAAAATCGACCCAGCTGTTTCGGAGATTAGCCGGAACAAATAGACAAACAGACAGACAAAAATTTAAAAAATTGTATTTTTCTTATAAATACCTTATATAATGCCATATGCATTTAGTAAAAACTGTTATTTTGACATTACGGACATTTAAATTTTATTTATCTGTAGAGTCTAGAAATAATATATGTATCTCATATTTAACTGTCTCGATGATGTAGTGGCTAGCATGTACGGCGGCACATCCGGTGGTCCAGGATTCGAGTCCTGGGTCGGGCCAACTTTAGTTATTGAGTCTAAGATACGCAGTTGATATAACAATGCACAAGAGTACGGGCAGATACAAGTGCACTCTATATAATTCTTTTTCTATCAAAGTCTGATTTGACGATATTTCGTCATGACCGTAAGAGTTAATTTCATATGTATAAAAAAATTATAAAATATTTTTATATAGGTAGGTACTCTGTTATATTTTCATAAATATATAATAAAAACTGTATTACATTACTTCCAAACGACTTATCCGTGCCAAACTATACTCATTAGTAGCCGTTCATCCTCTTTTACAACCGAAGTTTTTAATTACTAATGCTTAAGTCAGAACATAAATACTAAATATGACGATACTAGGGAAAATATTATTCTATTAATATTATAAACGCGAAAGTTTGCAAGAATGTATGTATGTTTGTTTGTTTGTACTTGTTACTCTTTCACGACAAAACGGCTGAACAGATCTGGTTAAAATTTGGCACAGAGATAGATTATAGTCTGGAATAGCACATAGACTACTTTTTATCCCGGAAGAATATACGGTTCCCGAGGGATAGATTCGTTTTTGTTTTTCTAGAGGCGAACCCGAGCGAAACAAGGATTAAAATATTTAGCACCTCCAATTATATTGAAGAGCATTAATACCAAGTTTCAAGTAATTCTGATCCTAAATATTTTTTTGGGTTGTATAATAGCGTGTTTCCCGTTGGAATGAGACTATCTCCCGCGGTAAAAAGAAAAGCCTATGTCATTCTCCAGCCCTCCACCATACAAAAAATCACACCAATCCATCAATCCGTTTCCACGTGAAAGGAGGACAAACACACTTTCACATTTATAATATTAAAAGTATGGATTTGTTTGTGTCATTAATTATTAATAATCTACATCTACACTACTATTATAAAGAGGAAAGATTGGCGTTTTTGTATGTTTGTAACGAATAAACTCAAAAACTACTTGGCCGATTTAATTTAAATTTAGGAAGAAGATAGTTTTTGACCCTGGGAAAGACATAGGATATTTTTTATTCCGGGAATCATCCCTTAAAGGGGTGAAAATGGGGATGAAAGTTTGTATGAGGAATCAACCTAGGGACGACCCCGAGAGAAGCGAAGGTGAGTCGCTGGTGTATTATATATGTACTATTATTAAAAATAAGAATACTGCTAAAATTCACGTTCAACCTTTAGATCTAAAGATAAATAAGTCAATGCAGTTAACTTTTAAAAGTAAAAAAAGATATATTTTCTTTAGTTTAGTTTGTGCAAATTGCACTAATTTTTATATTCTATATTATAAACCGCATATCATAAACAAGAAAATTAACAATGAAAGCTCTAAGTAAGTTCATTTATGTCAGTTAATACTTTACGCTTTGTGTTTTACAATGGACCGCGGTGAGCTTCTAAGTTATTATAGAATTATGATATGCTCCCTTACGTTCTTTGAAAAAACTGCAATATAAAATATAAAACTGCTTACATTGATTTTGATGACACGTTTGACTGAGTTTATAGTTACCCTACTTGTCGTGTCAACGGTCGCGGGTTTGACTACCGCTGGGGGCATTCATTTCTGTGATGAGCACGAATGTTTGTACTCCAGTCATGGGTGTTTATATTTATAATATATATGTAATTAAAGTTTCATATATGTAGTGTATCAACTATCTGGTATCCATAACTGAAGCCTCGTAGAAACCATGGAACTAGATGGTGCTGTGTGTTAATGTCGGAACATATTTTATTTATTTATTTACTGATTGCTAAATTGCTTAGAGTACTAAAGTAGTCACTAGTTCCTTCTTAG